GCACAGACAGCGGCATATTGGCATTTGGCAGATTGAGGTGATATGTTAAAAAAAAATATCACAAAATAAAAGAATAAATCTACTGCAGATGATGGCAATGTCAAAAATTCAAACTTTATAGTTTCGTCTAAGGTTTTTCTTTTGCTTGTGGCTGTATTCACTAATATTTCTTTTTACATCTGTGTAAAGCAGAGAAAGGCCTTGATGTATGTGGATGTTCGTATAGTGCGAATTTGTGCACCCTGACTACGACTTTAATGATATGGTGTCAGAGTGGGTCTGTGCATCAAGTGTTTTTAGTGCTTTCTGAAAAAACAAGTGGTTACACCGCAGAGAAAATGGATTTGAAGAAGAAAAAAAAAGAATACACCTAAAAAATATTTTCATTCTCAGACTACACAGTGCTATATAAGGCTGTCGATAAAACAAAAGCAAGCCTCTTTGTGTGAGAAACTAAGCAACTTAAAAAATGTTCAAAGACTTGATTCATGAATATTTTACACAATGTGCCAGAACTTCATCTGAATATCTGAATGTACTGGAGTTCATCAATAGCCTATCTGTCTTACTACCGAAGCCACACAGCCTCACTTTCCCTCTCTCCCTATCATCTCCCCCTCTGCCTCTCCCCTCTAATGGCCACACACAAGGCCATCCATTCAAAGCTTTTCCTCATCCAGCCCCAGCGGGTCCCCTGAGGTGCCTATGTACAGACCATGCTGCCCGGGATTAAAGTGTGAGATGGAAGGAGCCAGTGGGGCTCGTTGCCTCTTCCTTGCTGATGACGAGGCTCTATAGGGCTTCCTTTGAAACCCACTCTCCTCTTTACTCCCAGAGTTTGATGATGAATGCTTGTTTGAGAAAAATGATGGGGGATGGAGTTTTTAGCACTGGTTAACACTAATACTTAATTCTCCTATAAGAGACAGGAGTTAAAAACACTAAACAATTGCAATGCTGCAGTATGGCTCAAACTTTGGGAAAGGATGTCCTAGATTTCTATATGTCGTCACAACGGCTGTGTTAATTAATAAAGAGAGGTGTCAGGCAGTCTTAGTTCTTTACCTACATCTCAATACACATACTGTACACTGCTAATTCAGTACACTCAGAGGTTAAAACACAAATAGATAACTACCCTCATGGCTCCAAAGCCTGAGAAGCCCTGAAAGCTCCACCTCATGTCAACTGCTTTATGTTGATTTAATTAAAAAAAAATTGCAGAGGAATGTACATCACTGACGCATAATAAATAGCAACCACAGGCTCTGTGTTATTACCTAAATATAGTTTCCACTTTAGTACATGTAGTTTGCATGAATGTGTAAATGATTGTGTTTCAGAATGACCACATATAAGACCAAGCTTTAACCTGCATGTGCCATTTGGGGGAAAAAACTCAAATGTCATATTTATGGCATTTACATTTTAGCATTTTAACAACAGCAGGTATTGTTTTATTTTTCTAAATCAAGTACAGTTCCATGTATGAGGCTGGCACATTAAAAGAGTGCTGCAGTTGGGATTATTTGTAGCTTTAATTTTTCTTCTTTTTTGTAGCAACCAAATAATTATTGTCCATATTGCACAAGTGCGCACCTCATAATGTACATCCAGCGCCAATGTTCCGTATCGATGCAAGCACTAGTGCCTCCTGTATGTAGAGGGGAAAGTATTAACATTTCAAATTTTTGCTACATGTTTGCAATGAAAATAATATTTCTGAATAAAGTCCTTCATTACAAAACACACAATGTCCTAAATCACACACACACACACACACACACACACACAGAGTATAACATTTTGACAGGCTTAATGAGAATGATGGTGGCTGCTCACATTATTACTGAGCTATGATTAGCCTAAATAAGATCAGTAGTTTTGTAAGTGTTGTATGTGTGTAGCATTTTGAAGATGTTTTAACAATTTAAGGTTCACCACTAAAACCGGCATACTTTAAATTTAGATCCAGATTCCAGTTACTGAGTTTGAGATACGTTTTGTAGTGTTTTCTACTTTTGTTTAAAATGCTCTGTGACACTGTTTACATGCTGGATTTTGATAATCTATAATTTGGTCATTTGACTCATGTGCCAAACATGCATGACTCACAGTGTGTGGGGGATTGTCTTTTCCACAAATCACCACAGAACTGTTGTTGCACCTGCACTGGTCAATGTCACTCTGCATGCATTTGGAATCAGCCTGAAAGTGAAGTACTGGTAGTTCCTTCATGAGGACAAGTGAGACTTGAGGGTGCAGAGATTAGATGTCATTGTGACGGAACCAGCCTTTACACAGCAGACAGTGCAGACCTTCACGCAGTCATCTTTCCCAGCTTTGACCACGATCTGGCTGCAACTCACCATCATTCTGCTATTGGTGAAAAAACAAACAAACAAAAAAACTAACTTTAGCTTGTTTGTACTGCTTTAAACCAACCACAATCAACTTGGGTGGAGCTAAGGGAAGGATGTGGCTTTGATGTTCCTTCAAAATTGTAAAGGTGGAATAGTTTTGGTGAAATATTTGCATGCAAGTAGATAAGCACTGTCATAAAACGGATAAACCACAAAACAATAAAAATAAATACTAGCACCTCTGTAAATCTTGAAATTTTTAGCGTGATAAGTTGGAACCCCAACACTGTTGCCTTTATTTCCCATAGTTGAGTGCATTCTGAAAATTGTAGCATACAGATCATGGAAGGGAAGGACAAAGCCACTTAAAATGAGTGGCCAATGGCAGGATTTCACAGGCTTAAATTTGCAGCCTACATGCAGTGAGTTGGACAAACTGGCCTACTGATGCAGTGACCCAATGGAATCTGTCCTCGTATGCCAGATGGCAAATCGACCACTGACCATGCTGTAGGTGCTACGGATTATTCAAAAACACAGCCATTGAGCATGCTGTGCCAAATTATCCAATATTGACTTCTTTGTCTGCTGATGTAAAGTTTGTTTAAAGCCATTTCTCAGTGTTAAAGAAGCACATAGGAGTTGCTGAAGGCACATGTAACAAGTTCAGTTGCCAGTTTTAGTTTTCTTAAGAGAAAAGGGATTCAAGGATGATGACTATTTTATCCTCTGGCAGCATCTCTGGGAAATTTTCCCAATGTTGTGTCTGTAGTCCTTAACAAGTCATTGAGAAGTGGTAGTCTTATAGTCAGGGTTGGTTTAGATTATGGTGCATAATTTTGCAGCCTTGCATAGAAAAAAAACCCCTGCACATTGCAGGTAGTGGTGAGATGGGGGTTCAGCAGCCCTGGATCATCCTAGAAAGTCAATTCAGTCATGTACTATTATGCATCATAAAGAATGAGTCTACAAGGAGCATTCACTAAAGTTAGAGCAGTAATTCTGCAGCCTTTTGGTGCTTGACTACAGACATTCTTATACAGTCTATGTGCCTGACTCACTGTAATATTCCAACATAATACGTGCGTTTTTCCCTGTAATAATCACAGCAGTAGTAACGGTTATAAACAATGCAGCACCGCAACCAATATTTGCTTTAGCTTCAAGTGACAGGTGAATGTGTGACAGACGCTGGTGAAGTGAGGCGGAGGGAGGAGGACTGATGACACGGAGCTGGCACACTGAGCGAGACGCACATTGTACTTTGTGCTGGTAGAAAAAGGAGGCGCGCAGCTCCTCTCCATCACTTTGCAAACACCGACAGGGGGGGAAAAAAACAAAGAAGCCACGATGTAGAAGCCGTCAGATAACGTCCCACAAACCCCGCAGCAGACCGTTTCTTTCTGCGCCCCTGTGGTCCCGTCCAGAGCGCTTGATTCTCTTTTTGGCGCTTTGCTCGGTGCAGGAGTCTGTCGATCGACCGAGGAGGAGGAGGAAGAGGAAGAAGAGGTGCTGCTCGCTGCCTGAACTCGCTGGATGGATCCGAGCTCTTCTTCTCCTCTCACTTGTAACTGAGGACCCCCGTCTTCGTAGGAACTGTTCTGTTTCTGTTTGGAAGAGTTGGGATTTTGTTCCCTCCTCCACTCGAGCTCCTTTTCGGTGAGTATGTGTGCGTGCTCGCCATCCCTTGCACTCAGTTGTTTTTTTTGTTTGTTTTTTTTGGTCTTTAAAATGTTTTATGTGTTTCAAAATCTGCATATGTCAAGTGAACAAATGCACAAAAGTTAGAATTTGGCAGCAGTGTACATGCAAACAACCCAGACCTATATTATTGAATGGAACATACATGGATAGAGGCTGTTCATCAATTATCACAAACTGATTGGGTGATGTAGGTATTTCCAAAAAATATTTTTCAGGCTTTCATTGTAATTTAAAATTGAAATATAAAAAAATGTTGTCATATTATTCCCACATAGATAAATCTGGAGCAGGGTCCCTCCTTATTTCGATTCAACAGGTTTGTTTCAGTCTTCGACAGTGTTTCTCTCTGCCAGTCAGTTAATTATGCAGCTCAGTACAAATTGGTTGCTGCTGATGTTGTTGATTTAGCTGATTAGCAGCATTGCATTGCAACTCTATCTGGAGCAAATGTGCGCTCGAATACAAAACAGAAATCTTTTTCACAAACAAACTCAACAAATCTGTGTAAGTCATGCAAATTGTTGCAGGCTTTGGTTTACAGCACTGACTCTAAATTTCATATCAACCATTCATCCACTTTTACTTGCATGTGCCAACCTGTCATGGTTGGTCGGCACTTGCGCTTTAGTCGTCATTTATCAGCTTTTTCCTTGAAATTGGATGACATTTTGGCTAGATTCTGTTTGATTTGAAAAGAAGCTGCTGAGAGTGACAAGAAATGTAATCAAGGGTAAAAGTGATTGGAGCTGAAAATAGTTTTCTGCTGTTTTGTGTGCAGCACAATGAATTTTAGTTGATCATCCAGTGTTCGCTGTTAATGTCACCTTTGTGTTTCCTCTTTTGTTTTAATTGTCACGTATTCTTCAGATGCCAGTTCTTTCTGAGGGCCATCAAGTCTGAGGTGAAGAAGACTGCTTCCAAGACTGCTTCACAATGGCAACAGGAGTAGCAGCGTGGCTCCCCTTTGCCAGGGCCGCAGCTATTGGCTGGATGCCTGTGGCCAACTGCCCCATGCCTGTTGCACCAAGAGACAACAGCAAGAGACAAGACGAGCTGATCATCCTCAACGTCAGTGGCCGTCGTTTTCAGACCTGGAGAACCACGCTGGACCGCTATCCAGACACCTTGCTGGGCAGCTCTGAGAAAGATTTCTTTTATAATGAGGAAACCAAGGAATACTTTTTTGATCGGGACCCTGATGCCTTCAGAAGCATCCTCAACTTTTACCGGACAGGGAAGCTCCACTACCCCCGACACGAGTGCATCTCGGCCTACGACGAGGAGCTGACTTTCTTCGGCATCATCCCTGAGATCATTGGTGACTGCTGCTACGAAGAGTACAAGGACAGAAAGAGGGAGAACTTGGAGCGCCTGCAGGATGATCAAGAGGAGAACAAGGACATGAAGATGCCCAACATGAACTTCAGAGAGACCATGTGGCGAGCCTTCGAGAACCCCCACACGTCCACAATGGCCCTGGTCTTCTACTACGTCACTGGTTTCTTCATAGCCATCTCGGTCATCACTAATGTGGTGGAGACGGTGCCCTGTGGTTCCACCGCCAACCAGAAAGACATGCCATGTGGCGAACGCTACACAGTGGCCTTCTTCTGCATGGACACTGCCTGCGTGATGATATTCACGGTGGAGTATCTGATGCGCTTGTTCGCCGCGCCGAGTCGCTACCGCTTCATGCGGTCTGTGATGAGCATCATCGACGTGGTGGCCATCTTGCCGTACTACATTGGCCTGGTGATGACTAACAACGAGGACGTGAGCGGCGCCTTCGTGACGCTGCGGGTGTTCCGAGTGTTTCGAATCTTCAAGTTCTCCCGTCACTCTCAGGGCCTGCGGATCCTGGGTTATACGCTCAAGAGTTGCGCCTCAGAGCTGGGCTTCCTCCTCTTCTCGCTCACCATGGCCATCATCATCTTCGCCACGGTCATGTTCTACGCAGAGAAGGGCTCCAGCTCCAGCAAGTTCACCAGCATCCCAGCTTCCTTCTGGTACACTATCGTCACCATGACGACGCTGGGGTGAGTAATAGACATATTTGCCCGTTCACCACACCTCACCCACACGCACACAGGTGAATGTATTCCTACGTATGTACAGGTTACAGCCATACCTGTGCGGTGACCGTATTTTGTATGGGTTACGGAACTAAAGCTATTGTTTAGAATTTTAATAATGCAATATGTGCATTTTTTGTGTGTGTTTTTTTTTTTTTTTTTTTAATAAGTTGAATAATTTATGAAAACCACTTTGAATTTCAAATGAGCATCAAGTCAGCCTGCCCCCATACTTCAGTACACTACAGCTTATTTGAGACTGCCAGTGTGAGTAATGGTGGGCAGTGTAGCATTTATCTATCAGCACAAACACTCGTGGCATTTTGTTTGCCTCACTTAGAGCTTGCCAAACAGAGAGACAGTGGCTGAATACATACAATACATCTGAATATTAAATATTAGCCCAGATACTACGCAGGTTTGTTTGCGCGCTAAGCTGTCGACTGATATGTACTGATACAGATAAATGAGCTATATTTAGTGCTTTCTATTTTTGTCTGTATATTCCTTTGGCCTAGGAATAAATGTTTACAGTTGATTTTCCATTGAAGCATCATGCATTATCAATTCTGAACATAATACTTAAATTGGAAACACTTGTGATTAGCCAGTAATTATCCTGAATCAAATCTTTATCATTTTTCCACCTCTGCGCACTCTGTGGCTTACTATGTTTGAATGAACAAGGATCCAGCTACATTTCTTTTACAGAGAAGAGAATATCTTTTATACTGTATGTCTGACAGATTTACTCCCTGCTAATATGGTCTACACTGGGAGCACCATATTTATGGCCTACGTATTCAGTGTAAAAACGCTTTGTGAGGAAATAATTTAACTGCATTATAAAGTGAGATCTCTCCTCTGTATGCCTGGAGGCGAGGTGTCCCATGAGACATCCTCTGTCACCTTTATTATGATTCCACTCTGCTCTTAATCTTTTCCTCAAGCTCGCTGAGATTCGGTGCCATGAATGGCAAGGTGAACTTGAAAGTGTTCCCAAAGTTTGGCTGAGTGTAGTGCTCTATTAACAAGGAGGAGCTGAAGAATAAGTATGAGTTCCTAAAAATCACTTCTTCACTCAGACTGTCTTTGAAGATAATGCTGTGTATGTAAATGGAGAAACTTGGCATGACTCAGAAATAATTCTGGTGGTTTCAGTGATTCAGCTGACTTACAGAAACGTATTTTTAAAAACAAATGACTGTCAGCACAAGCAGGCAAGAAAAGCGTTAAGGGATCGGTTCATGTTTTTTCATGCGTGTCTTACAACAATGCACACATCTATATTAAAAACTTTTGTGGTCGGTGTAATTCTTCATCCTGTCCTTATTGGCTTTGCTGAAGGAAGAAATTCCTTCCCAACATGATTTCTAAGTAAGTGATAGGGGAAAATCTCTGCTGTCTTGGTCAAGTGGAAAGAAATCTCAGTTGAAGCTTATCAGCAGTCTGAGTTATACAAATTAAATGGAAATCTTCCAAAGTCCAGAGCTGTAATGCTGATGATAATTTACGCTATGGAAGAATCTGCCAATTTTTTTTTACTTTTCATTGATTAATTGCTTTGCTTGTAAAGTTGTAGTAAAATAGTGAAAATACTGTCAGTAACTAGGTTTTGACTTCACTTTAGTTTCTAATTTAATCAAACAGAGAAAAGCAGCACTGAGAATCTGGAATCGCTGAATATTTGGTATTTGTCCTTGACAAATGACTTAAATGCTTATCAAAATAATTTGATACATTTCCTCTCTTCTTTTTAATTTCAGGCCTATCACAGTCTTTTCAGAGCAAAAAAAAAATCCTCTTTGTGCTGTCCTCCCGCCCGTGGCTCTCGACGCAGGGAACAATCTGAAAACTCAATAGATTTACACTGTGTAGCTTTGGAATATAGCTGTTTTATTTGTCTTTTTCATCCTTCATTTGAATTGTAGGAGTAATTTTCTACAGAAATAAGGATTTTCTCCACCATTTATTAACATTTTCATTGCATGTAAGCATTGTTTTAAGTATAGACTTAAAAACCATAAACTTCTCCTCTAACCACTAATGAGCTCTCTTATTTTACCAACCAATTCCAATTATTAAAAATTCTGACTGAAAATAAAATATATTTTAGGACTCACAGGTATATATTACAGTTCTTCCTCTCCTAGCAGGAAACTGTGAACAGGACATTATGTGCACTGTCATGCTGCACCTCATTTGACCCTTAACAAGGTACCTCATGATGTGCCCTTGTGGGGTTTAGTACGTTTAGTCTCCTTATTAAAAAGTGACACCTTCTCCTTGCAGACTTTTTCTCTTTAAGAAGGCATTGCTGTAGTTATTTGAGAATCCTGAGTTGTGGGAAGTATGTTTTTATTCTTCAGGTTATGGTCAGTGTGCTAGATTTGTCTTTGAACAAATGAAAAAATGAAAATCCAATGAAATGCCAAGCATGGATCTCCAGACCAGAATAGTTCTATGCTGTGTACCGTGAAAGAACTGAACAGGCTGCCTGACCTTACCTGCACTGCAGTATTTGTATTTGTGTGTGGCATTGTGTGTATTTTAAATGCTATCTTTTGTATCACACACACAAAAGGATAGAAATGCCAAGGTGAAAGCATTATGTAAATTGTAAACCTGAACAATGTGTTTGAATGTGCAGCCATTATGTGGGACACACAATAGGCAGCTGCACTGAGAGCCTATCTTACAGCTTTGACAATAGTCATCCTCATCACTAACCAAGGACAGTTGCTTGTAATCAGGAAAACTATCAACTGATGCTTGTACAGAGCTCACACAATAATTGTGTGAGTGCTGAAATTCAATATGTTTTCTCTACAGAAACCAATACCTATAGGGCTTATTACGAATGGTAAAGTCAGACATTACTGGGAATAATTCTGCAGCAGATCGAAGTCCAAAATCAATTTCAAAGTGTATAAGCTGTCTGTTCAAACTTTCTGTAGTCTTCTGGGACAAAAGTCTGTTTATTTACTTTGAGTCACAGTGTGAAAATGGAGATAAATATTACAAAAAAAAAAAGTTGTCTTTTGGGGGAGAGTCAAGAGGAAATCAAAAGGAAAGCTTCATTTTCCAAGATTTCAATGTTTCTATTACATTTTTCACAAGTTAAAAATTGAATTTTAAACTAACACCATTTATAAATGGAAGATATATTTTTAATTATGTCATACTAAGGCTTCATTTCTCTGCTGCTAATCATAAATCTAAATATAATGCACACTGCACTATAAATGTCAACAATAACAACCAGAGCAAACTTTAAATACAAGTACAAGCGAGCAGGTGAACATATAACAGTTTAAATGCTTTCAATACAGTGCGTGCCCACTTGATCCCCTCCAGCTCGTTTAATGTGCAGTAATAGGGACTAATGTATATGTAATAACAACTCTAAGTGAATAAGCAGCAGTCTTTCATGAGGCTCAGTGTTTCCCTCCCGTCTGTCGCCTGTCGATCTGTTCACCTGCTGAAGGAACATATGCTCAGGTGATGAGGTCGCCAGTGACCCATCTGTCAATGCACATCAAAGCCCCGGGAGGGAATCTTTAATCTAATATTGTGGTAATATGTCTTTTTTTATCGTCTCTAGCACTAACTGAGCTCTTTGGGACAGCGTTCTCCACACCAAATGTATATGCTCCCGTTTAAATCAGCATTTTTATTTGCCTGTTTGTTAGACTAAACATTTTAAATTGAAAAGTGCGATTTAAAACAATCAAATTAGCAAATCACAAAGGCTGCAAGTTAGGATATACATTATGCAACACGTCTGGGTTTAAACTGTTGCGTCCTTGTTGTGTGACAGAAATCCTTTTGATGGTAATCCATGTGGTAAAGCTCCATCACATACACATGCAGTGACTGTTTAACTAAAGCTTGACTTTAGAAATGATATCCCAATAAAATGCAATATCTGGTTAATGTTATTTTCAAATTGATCAGCACTATTTGTTTATGTGTGTGTTTGTATAATTGTTAGGACAGGTCGAACTGACATGCAGTGTTTAGTTCCACCTCAGCTTTAGCTGTCATTCCCATATCACAAAAATTTCAGGCACCATAAAGAATCTTTGACCCAACTTTACTGTAGTTTTTTAATAGTTTTTACCAAATTCAGGGCATGCATGAAACAGCAATGCAGATACTGCATACATACACACCTGTTTACTGTATAAAAATGTCACCTTCACCCCAGTTGCAGCAGATATAGCTTAGACTTTATCTAAGCCTGTATCAAAAGGGTAAATCTATGACTCTTGGGGAAGATGCAGTAAAGGAATGGCACACCTCTTCTTGATTTTAAGTCCTGAGACTGAATCAGCTTTCAAACCACTAAATCCTACACTTCCCATAATGCATATCTTTCTTTCTTTTTTTCTTTTTACAACCTCCTTTTAGCACATCTTTCAAACTTTCTTATCTTCCAGATAAGAAATTCTTCCCGAATTGATTTGGGATCATAAAAGAATTATCTTAATTATCTTATCTTATAAATGGTTGGACAGAATGGATTCCCATAATGAGTAAATATCTTCATGTCTAAAATCAGTGACATGCCCTTTTAAGTCAACATAAGATAAAATGGTTACTGCCCTGAAGTTCAGCAAAATTAAATTAGTTAGATATCATGTCCACATTAAACTGCTGTGGATCCAGAAGTCCCTACACAGGAATACAAACATCTATACACGTTATTAAATCTGGGATGATTGGATTGGTTAAAGGTCTGAATTTTAATATGTCATTAAGGTACCAAGAAATATCAACATATTTGACAATTTCTTCTGCAGCAAAGGAAAAAGTTCTAAACCTTTGATGTGGACAGTTAACAAGTCTGTCAATTGATTATCAGATGACTTTGAGTTATAACCCCAAAGAGCACGTACAGTCCACGCTTTTAGATGCTGATTCATTCTCACACATACGTAGTTATTGCCTTTGATCTTGTC